TCGGTCCCTCAGCTCCTGCAGTGGCTCCAGAAGATCAAGGCGTAGATGGCATAACCCCAAAAACTAAACCCATGCTGCTGCAGCGAAGAGGCTTCGCATTTAGGGTTTGTAGGGTTTACAAAACAGAGGAGTCTTCTAGGCAACCTACAAGAATTTAGGGCTCCGGTAAGCTACGGGCCTGGGCCTTCTATCATCACAAAAGGGGTCTCGTTAGCTAACGAGAGAGAGACCCCCAAACCCTAAACCCCAAACACCCTAAACCACAACACTTTCAAGACCTCCAGCCATGAGGCCAAAACCTGGACCCCATCTACCGCGAGCCCCTCTCCTACAGACCCTTCAGGCGCCAAAACCCTAAACCCTATAAACCCTAACCCTGACCCTCAACCCTGTAAACCCTAAACGAACCCTAAACCATAAACCCTAAACCCTAAAGACCCCTCTAGTGCGGTGATTGGGAGTGACGGGCCAGAGTGTGGAGGTGAAAACGATTGAGTCGGGTTGAGGGCCAAAAGGGGGGCTTGGGGTTTAGGGCTTAGGGCTTAGGGCTTAGGGTTAGGGCTGAACCTACTTTAGGGTTTAGGGCCGAAGCTACTGAAGCAAACCACCCTGGGCGCAGTCCTGGTATTGCTCCTCGGTTCCCTGCTGCCTGTCTGCGTACCTTAGGAGGGAACCGAGAAGATCTCAACATGCCCACCGATATGTCTTGATTGATTCCTCCCTGTCCCCATCCCAGTTTCCCCGCAACCTTCTTTATTCATGATGGGCCTTATAGGGGGGACCCAAAATGGGTAGGGGGGGTAGGAGGGGGTAGGGGGTCGACCATCTAGGTTGCCCGATAGCCCTGGTAATGAAAGTATTGCATCCGTAGCCTCAGATCGGGGAAACAAAAGTCCTACTGGGCGTCCTCTGAAACCTGAACCTTGCTGTGAAGGTCTAGCTAGATGCACGAGACAAAAAGATTAGATTACCACACCCCCCTGCCCGACAAAAAACTCAATCCAGGATGGTGCTACTACACCGGCAATCATAGCCAACATGAACAAGCAATTTGGAACTGCAGCCCCAAAGTATGATCCCCCAAACCCATAAACCCGAATATAGAGCCTTAACACGTCGAATAGGGTTTTGAGGGTTGTTATAGTAGAATTATAAAGGGACCCTGCGGGATTGCCACTAGCAATTTTTCCGACCACTATATTACACCCCGCTGACTTGTAAGGGCCCTTAACCCCAAACCCTAAACCCCTAAACCCCTAAAGCCCCAAACCCCTAAGCCCTAAACCCTGCTGCCAGTCCCAGGCGCTCGCAAAGGCAAGGCCCCGATTTTCGACCTGGTAGTAATCCACCAGGCGCCTGTTCCGGGGTTATGGCATTGGGGCTGCTTGTTCAGGGCTTTCAGGCTGAAGGGTGGTAGTGTAGGGTTCTAGGGAGTTTCGTTCCTCTTTTTGAATTTAGGGCTCTTTGTGCCAGGGATGAGGGCTTTTAGGACTTTAAGGTTTTCGGGCTGTAGGGCGGTTGCAGTCTGGTTAGGGCGTTGACGCTTGCAAGCTGTTGAATAGGGCAGAAGTCTGAAAGAGCGGCCCAAGTGATGCTATTACGAAAACGGCGGGGATATAACACTCGTAAACATGTCACGCATGGGCTGTAGAAAGTGGCTCGTGCTCGCACTTTTCACTCCCCCGTTTTGAACAGTACGTAGGGAGACACTTGAGGTTAAATGCACGTCAGATTCCCTGTGGCTAGGAAGCTGCTGTGAGTTGACTAGAGTCTAGAGGAAAAAGGCAAACCTCTGCATTATCAGGGGGCTTACAACTTTAGTACCCCGACGAAGAAAAGGGAACAACTGTTACCTCGTCAGCAACAAGCTGGATCAAAGCTGGGTCAATGGCTGATTCACTCGCACCAGTGCCGTGATCGATTTCTTCCTCGGCAAGAGGGGAATCTTTTGCTTACGGAGCTAACTTCTCCAACGACTTAACACAGGCCACCGCATCACGTATAATCATGTGGGGTATTTGGTTACTCCTTCCCACAAAAGTGTGACTTTTATGGGGTCCGTGGGAAGTTAAGGAAACCGAAGAATCCTATTGCCCAACCCAAAACACATGATGTGAAGTCATCTCTTGCGCTTGTGAAATACGCTTGAAGTCTTCATGGCATGAAGTCCTTATAAACCCTATTAACACCGTAAATTAACACCCCATAAACCCCACAAAAGCCCCATGAACACTGTATAAACCCTACGAATCAGCTCAACGTGCAGGGCACAGGATCTAGGGTCCCAACCTCCACCCAAACTTCCTAAACCCTAAAATTTGCGGTTTCGGGTTTAGGGATTAGGGATTCGCCTCTTTGTTCCATGTGGCTGAAATTAAAGCCCTTGGGCAACCTAAACCCATTTTCTGAGGCTTGCGTTCTAAGACGCTGCCAAGCCTTGGGGGGTTACGGGTTTGAGGGTTCAGGGGTTTAACCCTAAACCCTAAACCCTGAACCCTAAACCCTAAACCCCAAACCCTAAAGGGTTAGAAAGCTTAAGGGTTCAGGGGCTTAAGGGCTTCAGGGGGCTCTTGTGGCATCCTTCCGGTGCAGCCAAAGGTCCGGGACCGGCTGTGTGGAATGTTCGGTAGCTCATTCGATTCCTCCTGTGTCGACAGCCCTACCCTTTAGGGTTTAGGGTTTTGGGTTTAGGGTTTAGGGTTTAGGGTCTAGGGTTAGGGTTTAGGCTTTTAGATCTAACCTCCGTAAGCCTTACACCCTAAAACTCGCAAACCCCAAATCGACAGCGAAGGGCTCAGCAACTTAAGCAACTGAGGGCCGAAACCTCCGCCTTTGGACTGTAACTCTCCCATTCTATGGGTCCCACAATGCGCCGCCTTGCCTCTAGACTAGACCTTTGACCCACGTATGCATTATCACTATACACTAAAAAACCCTAAGCCACAAAGGTTTCGGAATTTCTGGTGGGTGGAAATCGGCTCATGACCGGCCCCAACCAAAGAATGCGGTCGGCCGAGCGCACTGCGCGGAAACCCTACACCCTAAACTCTAAGGCCCCCAAAGCCTGAAAACCCTAAAGCTCGTACTCCTAAGGGGATCCTCCCCCTAAACCCTAAACCCTAAACCCCGAACCCGAATCCCTGAACCCTGAACCCTGAACCCTGAACCCTGAACCCTGAACCCTGAACCCTGAACCCTAAACCCTAAACCCTAAACCCTAAACCCTAAACCCCAAACCCTATTCTCTTCCGGCTCCTGTGCGGGCTCGTTGGAGCCCTTCCGCTTATTGTTTGTCTCCTGGAAGGTGCAAAAGGCAGGGTTTAGGGTTTAGGGTTTAGGGTTTGGGGTTTGGGGTTTGGGGTTTGGGGTTTGGGGTTTGGGGTTTGGGGCTTAGGGGAGTTCAGGGTTTAGCGTTTAGGGGAGTTTAGGGTTTGGGGTTTCGGGTGCAGGGTTTGGGGTTCAGGGTTTCTTGCATCTAGAGCCTGGCACAGGAAATCGGGTCTTCTTCCATCCGTCCTGGTAGAGACATTCACGCACCCTGTATAACCCTAAAGCCCCAATCCTCAAAGCCCGTAACGATGCCAAAGTTCCTGCAAGCGTCCGAGTGCGCAGCACACAGGCTTTTAGGGCTTAGGGTCACACAAGAGGAGTTGAAAAGATAGCCCCTTCCCGAAGAAGCCACCCTGAACTGCCCTAAGCCCCGATAATGCCCCTAAACCCTAAACCCTAAACCCTAAACCCCAAACCCTAAACCCCAAACCCCAAACCCTAAAAGCAGCCCGCCCAGTGAGCCTTGGGCTTCGGCGCCTGAGCATACTTTCCTTCAGCGCTGGCGCCGCAGCCCATACCGGCTTCGGGGCTTTTTGTGGTCTTTAGAGGGGGTTTAGGGTTTAGGGTTTAGGGTTTAGGGTTTAGGGTTTAGGGTTTAGGGTTGAGGTTTAGGGGAGTTTAGGGTTTAGGGTTTAGGATTTTAGAGGCGTGGGGTTGAGGGTTCAGGGGGTTTAGGGGCTTTAGGGGCTTAGGGGTTTCAGGGTGTAGGGTTTAGGGGTGTTGGGTTTTAGGGGTGTTAGGGGTGTTAGGGGTGTTAGGGGTGTTAGGGTTTTCGAGCTTCGGTGGCAACACCATGACTTCAAGAGGGTTCGTTGTCTTTCTCAGGGAGGGGTTGGGTTAGGGTAGTAGGTGGATTTCTAGGGTTTGCTCGCAGGGGGGTTGAGGGGTTTCAGGGAGCGTGGGGTAGGCGCGTGGCTGCTAGGTTTGGAGCTTCCAACTTGCAAGCACACCTAACAAGGACCGAGCTTGGACCGTATCAAAACCCTCTGAAACGTGTTCCGAGGTAAGGTCCCCTTTAGAAACCAGTAAGCCAGTAAGGTAAACTCTCTAAACGGATGTTCCAGGGTCTTGCCTAGGTAGGTTCGGTACAATTCCAGCGCTCGTGCAAAGACTCCTACAGCTCCTTGAGCAAATCGCATCCAATGGCTTTTGGCAATTTAGGCTTAGGGTGTAGGGTTTAGGATTAAGGGATTAGGGTATCACCGGAGATTCAGGGTTTCGGAATGCAAGCTGCTAAGCTTTCCCAAGCGAATAAAAACTGAAAAATGTGATAAACAAATGCCAAGCCCCTAAGCTTTAAGAGAACCATCTTGCTGCTATTTTGGAACCCACAGCCCTCAGCCCGAAACCCCAGAACATGCCCCGAAGTCCACCCAGCCGGAGGATAGTTGGAGGCTCCTGGGTACTTCTGCCCGAACTGCAGTAACTATAGCTACCCCCTAGTTATAAACCCATTCATCACACCAATTCTGGTTCTATCAAGCCCCACTTGCTACCCCTGAAAAAAAGGTACCCGTGAACCTCCAAGTACTTGACCTGCCGCCCTTGCTACTACTGTAAGTCAAGCCTCTCCGAGGCTTCGGCCGTTGAGCCCTGAACCGACAGCAAAAAACTTTAAACCCGAATCACCCTCGAAGCGCCCCAGACCCGCCCGAACTGGGGGCTAGCGCCTGGACTTCACAGGCCCCGGCAACCTGGGTTCTGTTTTTTGGGCTTCGGTTTCAGGGTTGGAAGGACGATGCCCCAAACCCTAAACCCTTGCGGGGTGTGGGGGCGGTGGTTGGGTGGGGTGAGGTTCCTGGCTGTGGAAAGAATCAGGGTCGATCGGGGAGTGGTTCCACGTACATACATACAGACAAACATACATACATACATACATACATGCATACATACATACATATGTATGTCTGAATGTATGCATGCATGCATGGATGTATGTATGTACGTCTGTACGTATGTCTGCGTATGTGTTCTTGTTGTATATTTTCTTGCTATGGTGCTTATTACTCTTATAGTTTTGAGAGTAGGATGCTACACAAGCTGTGAGTCTCTAGCAGTCACGGCCGCAGAGTCTGAGTGCAAAGCTCTGGAGAACAAAGCAACCCTGGCCAAGCCTGCAACATTGCCATGCGCTGGCACATGGGGGTGATCTAACCCTAACCTCTCAGGGACCTACGAACTCCAGCATTCAAACCCCTGAGCCCTCAACCCCCCCCCCCCCCCTCCCCAAAAACAAACATAAAAACCAAGAAAAACCTAATAGTCCTAAACCCCAATGGCGCCGCGTGGACGTTGCGGGCTCCGGGATGGTGGGGGGAGTGTAGTCATGATGATGCTAAGAAGGGTCAATTTCCGATTATAGGGGGACCATTCTTGTGGGTCCCTTGAAGGGGATTCTGCTCTATTTGCTGGTATAGAAGGGGGTACCCCTCTTTGGGAAATGCCCAGATGGGACTAAGGCTCATAACCGTCAACTCCAAACCCTGACGGGGTCGTAGGGTTGAATATGGACGCTGGAACCCGCTTGCCTTGTGGAGTGCCATCGGAACTCTTGTCGCACCTTTGCTTCATATGGTTTAGGCTTTGAAGCTTAGGGTCAGCGCTGCAGTCATCTGAAATCATGCTGCCAGCCTGGTCAGCCATGTTTCAAACCTTTTCTTGGTAAGTGGAAGCCATTCAGGTCAATTCCAGGTATCCGTCAGCAAGTGTCTTGTAACCCTGATATCCCATGTTGACCCGCGTTGGCAACTCTATGCAGTTCTATTGTATAAGGCATGTTGTCCTAGCACGCCTAAAGTATCCCGTTCAAAGCAGCCACAACCTCTTGCGTTCATGGATTGGCAGCTTCAACAGACTTCTCCGGCTGCAATTTTTCACTTTGGACTGTTGCGACACGTCATGACATCATAAAACTCTGCCACATCGTGCTCTTGGAAGTGGTAGCCACTCCTTTCTAAGTAGGCTACCTCCGCAGTCTGAGATGTACCAAGGCCGCTGTTTTTGCGGGCCTCCCTGACAGAAGTCTCGTTTGAGAGTTCCTGCCACAGCAATTTTCCATGGCCGACCCTCCCTTCAAAATAGAAGACATGCAGCCTCTGGCCCTGATGCACCGCTTGATCCACGTTGGTTTTCCAATCATGGAACCATCGGCAACCCCAGGGAGCCCGGCCGCAGTTCTTTTCACATCTCTTCCATGCAGCCCTGTGTGCCTCTTCCTTGTCTTGGGCCCATTCCTGATCATTTTGACCATCTCGCTTGAGGAATATTTGACCCATGGCAGCAGCATCGCTCTCTTTGAAACGAAGCTCTTCTGCACTGATGGCCTTTGGATCTTCCACGATGCTGATGTACGCCCCAGCTGGCACCTGACCGTAGAGCGCCTTGCACCAGCAATGGCTCGGTTCCTCAGGGTTCACCTCGTGCATCCCTAAACCAGAATTGCGGTCGGTCAAAAACACGCAAGCCAGGCTGCAGGCAGTAGAATGCACTTCCACCATCCGCACTGCAGCATCCCACTCCTGGTTCAGAACTGCACCCAGAAAAAACTTGCTCACAACTGCCATGAGTTTCTTGCCATAATATTCGCCAACAGCATTGATGGATAAACTTGATCATTCGGTTTCGGGCGGACATTCCTTCGGCCATTCGTTTATAGATTTCGGGGCTGTTTTGCCGGAAGCCTCAGGAATCCTGGCAATTTACATAAATCAGCTGGGATACGCCCCCAACATCCCAACAAAACAATGACGGCCGGACCATTCCTAAGTGTGCTACAACATCTTCATCCCTTCCCCCTTGTATTAAACGTACCCCTGATCATTACAAGTAGAACACTTTCCGGAAAGTCCTGCCAAAACCGACCTTGCCTGTTAAACCCTATTCCAAATTAGGGGGGGGAGGGGGGGGGGATTGGCAGGGCTCCCACACCAAGCCACCACATCCTGAAGTCTTCCCCCCTTCCCTCCCAGGGACCCCAAACATGACATGTGGATAAAACCTCCCCCTAACAGCCCTAACATTAAAAACACATTTCGATTTTCTGTGGGGGGTGGGGGGGCGTTTAATATTAGGGGGGAAGGGATTAGTAGCCCAGCAACCATTTTATGATGAGGGTACCCTTTTTGTTGGTGGGTCCTTTATACATAAGGGAACCCAGAACCCAAAAAAAGGGCAAAGGGTATCACTGGGCTACCAAGACATGGAACCACAACCACCAGCATCTTCAACCCTGTGTCAATTAAAGGCGCCGATCGCACAACTCAGAAGCCAAGTTTCTTCGGAGTACTTGCCAGGGAAGCTCACGACGCAGTGCTGCGAGTGAGGGTTCACAACCCCTGGGAAAGCAATGCGCTTCCCCTGCGCCCTGCCCATGTGGCTTAACTCTAGAAACACTGCACCCGGATCCAATGTACCTCTTGGCAAAAGGATGCCACCAAGAATGAGGATAGTTGCCAGCACCAGGATGCTGTCAAACGTCAGAAATACGGCCGGAATCAAGCCAATCTCGTCCCCGAAGTTCTCCACCAAGGGAAGGTAGATGGCATCAAAGAGGGTCAGAAATGCGCCCAGGCGCAAAAGCAGAACGCCTCTGGAGGCTCTTTTGATCAACTTCTTGTTCGTCTTCTTGTTCAGAAGCCTTTGCTTCATGTGAGCTTCGTACAGCAGAATGGATGCCTGGATGGCCACGATGAAGCCCTGAAAGGTGTAGCTGACAAGAGCCCGGGCACTCCGAAGGTCATAGCGTACCACCGCAAAGTGATAAAAGCCCGCAATGATGAAACCACCCGTGCAGATGTAGCTGCTGGCTACCCACCCCAGGTCGTAGAGTTGGAAAAATTTGAGCATTCCCACGCTCATGAGGCGAGACAAGTGGCAGAGGAACATCCGAAGGCCGCCGTTGAAGGCGAAGTCTTTGCGGGCATGTTCCTCAGAGGTTGCGAAGAAGGCCATGAACTCCAGTATGCAGGCAGGGATCAACGCGAGGACGCATCCGAGAATGCTGAACAGCTCAAGAAACGACGGTCGCGACGCCTCGTTGAAGCGGAGGATGAAGGGCACGAAGCACAGACTGCCCACCAGCACACGGAAGAAGCCGTCCAAGACTTGCAGCGGGATGGGCCAGGCGTCCGTGTAGAAGAACTTCCGTCCAACACTGTCGGGGTTCAGAATTGTTAAGGTATTGATGGTGAGTCGGGTTGCTGTCACACCTAGGAGGAGCAAGCAAAAGAAGACGTTGCGGGCCCAACGAATCTTTTGGATCCGCGCTCGCTCATGACCTCTCTCGGCGTGGACAGATCCGGCAGTTCCCTCGGAACCAACGACCTCTGGAGCCACACGCGCCATGGATGTGATCCAAAAAATTTGGTGGCCATCGAAACCAACAATAGCAAGTGCATGGTGGGTTCAAAACAAGTTCTTGCTACATCAACTATCATTCGGCAACAGGACATCCGAATTGAAGCATGTTGGAAAAACGGTCTCGTGTGTTTTTCATAGAACTCAGCAGCTGCGGGACACTTGTGGCTTGCAGTAAGTCAGCGCCAGGCACGAGTAACGGTTGCCTTTCGCCGTGGTTTCCTTACAAAGGTGTTACTAAGAATCCAACGTCGCATAACATGGGTTCAAATCGTGGCTGAGGGCTAGAGGTGTGCCAGGGATGTCAAGACAACACGCCTCCTCTGCGACCCTTCGTCGAAAGCCCTCAAGCGCAGTTCTCCCTCCCCAGGGGACCCCGGTTTAGGGTTTAGGGTATAGGGTTTAGGGTTTAGGCTTTAGGGTTCTCAGAGGTAGCAAGGTGACAACCTGCTTCAGGAATAGGACTGGGGCCGCAGCAGCCAGGCGGCGGTGTTGCTCTCGGAGTACCCGAGTCCTTGTCTTGGTGTTGATCAGGCAAATTCTCTGCAAAACAGTCCGAACCCCCAAACTCAAACCTAAACGCTGGGATATTCCCCCTTGTACTACCAGTCCGAAAAAAAAAGTAATTGGGGGTACTAGAATCCCTATTTATTAGGGACTGTTAGTATAAGGGGGGGCAGGCCAACCTGAACGTTTTTTGAAGCCTGTTCTCTGGAAGTTTCCTGTTACAGCGTCCTCTTTCGACTGCCAGTCGCCAGGGAAACATGTCTGCTCCACTAAGCGCCCCTATAACCTGAAAAAGACAGGTTCTCCCTGTTAACTTAACTGGGTCCTGGCTTTAGAAGGGATCCTGAACGTACAAAAGGAAGCTACAATTGGAAATGCTAGCATTTTAGCTGTTGGTCAGGACCTCCCTTCTCGTTGCAGAAATTGTCCTCTTGGCCAAGTACCAAAAACTTAGTTGCTGAGTTCAGAAGCACCAAAAAATGGATACTTTCCGTTCTGTAGAGACACCGTATCCCAAAAAGCATAAGTGTACTCATTCAGCTGCTAAGAAAATCCCAAACCCACCCCGCCGCGGGCCTTCCCGGAGAGCGGCTATAGGCAGCACCTGGGCGGCTCAATGCAAGCAACCCAAACCCAAACCCAAAACCTAAACACTCCACATGGGGATTCCCTTTTTTTGGGATGGGGTCGACTGCAGCAACCCTAAACCCTACACCCTAAACCCTACACCCTACACCCTAAACCCTAAACCCCCTCGGGCCCGGTCCGGCGGCGACATGGATGGCCGCGAAGACGTGGCTATCTGCCCTGGGCAGCAGTTCGAGGAACCTCTGCCCTAAGAACCCAAAACGGTTTAGGGTTTAGGGTTTAGGGTATAGGGTATAGGGTTTAGGGTTTAGGGTTCAGGGTTCAGGGCTTAGGGTTCAGGCTCTTGAAGTTTCAACCTCACAGGATCCTTAGGCGCAACCTGCCAAAAAAAGAGCAGGTTTGGGGGCTCTTTGGGTCGACACATGCTGCCCCAGTGCCAGTGACTCTTGCGGTTCTGTCTGTCAGGTGTGGTGTGAGGCGACAGAAACTTGTTGCGTCGTCAAAAGTCCCTGCTTCGTGTCAATCAAACCTATAAACCCAAACCCTAAAAACCCTAAACCCTAACCCTAAACCCTAAAAACCCTAAAAACCCTAAACCCGAATTGAACTCCCAAACCCTAAACCTAAATTGCTGTTCTCATCGCGCTGGGAGCGCGTCCTATGACCGCCGGGTCGGTGGTGCAAAGCAGCTCCACAAAGCCTCGGCGACTCAATTCGGCGGCGGCGGAGAAGGCAAGGTGCCGTCGCCCCAAAGCTTCCTAGGATCTTATGGGGCTTAGGTTTCCGAGGGTTTAGGGTTTAGGGTTTAGGGTTCTTAAACACAACCTGCTGGTGACAGAAGCCTATTGATGTAGAGCAACATCTAAACCCGAAGTTGCCTCCAAAGTATCAAGGCGTCGGGCCAACACCTCCAGCACGGACGCGACGTGTCTCAAAGTTTCAGCACCTTTACTCATCCCCTGCAAGTATGGGAGGACAATCCTGCCCACAAATGTATAAACATGAGTATGAACTATTCGATGACTGAATATGTGAATGAATATGCGAATCATGTGAACGTGTGAACACATGAGCGTGTGAATGTACGGTGGCATGATACGTAGTATAGAAAGAAGCTGATAAGATTTACAGATCGATAGAGTGATAGCCCATATCTCAAATCCCGCGGCCAACATGCGACAAAATTCGGGGTCTATCTGAAGCCTGTTCAATTCCAAGGTCTCTCTTCTAGACGATCATGAAAGCTTAAGATACCAAAACAAGCCCATGACCTAGATAAGCCCAACTTAAACCCAAAACCCAAAACCCCAAAACCCCAAAATCCTAAAACCCTAAAACCCTAAATCCCTAATCCCTAAATCCCTAAATCCCTAAATCCCTAAAACCCTAAAACCCTAAAACCCCCAATCTCTCTGGGGCATCCTGGCCTAGCGGAGCCTCCGTCAACGCCTTCCGCGCCGCGCGGAAATCGGACCTCTGAGCTCTTTTCGCGGCAAGGAGCACAGAGTTGGTTTGAGGTTTGAGGTTTGGGTTTCTAGGGTTTAGGGTTTAGGGTTTAGGGTTTAGGGTTTAGGGTTTAGGGTTTAGGGTTTAGGGTTTAGGGTTTAGGGTTCGGGTTCAGGAAGGCAGTATTTGTACATGTGCAAATTGCTGTAGTCGATAACGGTTTGCTGCCCGGAAAGCGTAACGAGGGGTTGAAGAGGAACAGGCCACAACAAAACAATGATTTTCCGCGCCGGTGAACCCTAAACCTAAAGCCTTATAAACCCTGAACCCCTAAACGCTCCCTAAACCTAAACCCTGCCTTTTCGCCGTTCGGCTTCGGGGATTCTTGGGAGCATGTGGAGCTGGGCCTGCGGAGCAATGGCTGCACGACCCCGTGCTTCACGTTTGGGGCGTATTGTCACTATTCGTATGGTATATAGGGTGGAAGGCGATGTCAATCCTGTTCGAGATATTCATCGTAACAACAAGGAACAGTACTAATGGATCTAAGACAACGATTCTTAGCCCTAAACCCTAAACCCTATAAACCACAGAAATAGTCACAATACGCGCCATACTTGAAGCACGGTGTCGTGCAGTAGTGTATGCTTAGGGCTTAGGGTTAAGAGTCTTTTTTCCTTAGATCCGTTAGTACTGTTCCTTGTTGCTACGACGAATATCTCGAACAGGATTCACATCGGCTTCAGCATGCTGCATGTGTTTCCCCACCCTCGGTGTGGGGTTGTTGGACTTTAAACTCTTCGGTCTACTTCTCCTCGCCCAGCCCAGAGTGCCCAGAGTGTCCCTGGAGCGCCCAACTCCCTGGAGTGCCCAACCCCAGAATGTCCCTGGACTGCCCAACCCCAGAGTGTCCCAAGTTCGGGTTGGTACACTAGTATTGGAATTGTTTTTAATATACTCGGCTACGTGGTATGCGTGTTAATCTTGTACACTTTCTCAGCTTGATCTTCTTCAAAACCCTAAACCCCAAAAAAAAACCTATGTGTGCGGCTCATGGGGTTCAGGTGCGGGCTCATCTGCAGATCCGCGCATCACCAGCACAACCTGCGGAGGGTTACATTCATTGAGGGTGTAGGCTTTGGGTTTAGGGTTTATGATTTAGGTCTCCGGTTTGGGGCTTTGGGTCGGGGATGTTGGTGTTGGGTCTCGAGGAGGAAACCGCATCCTGCTGTTCAGATTCGTTTGTTCAACTTCGCTTGAAAGCCTCTCATGGTAACTCTTTCGTGTTGTTGCCGCTGCGTCTTACTACTTGTACTCTCTGAATTATGGAACCGTGCACCCCTTGTGACGAAACCAGCCTCCTGGCTCTGAAGCAGCTCCCTGGCAAGGCGCCCGACCACGGCCGCAGCATGGGCGCGCGAGTGGCCTCAGTCTCCGGCCATCGGAAGGCTTGCTGTGGGGTTGAATCGGAAGCCACAGGAAACTTGGAGACTCCGACAACTTTTGCCCTCTCAAATTTCTCCAATTTGTGATAAAAATTGTGATCATTTGTGATAGGATAAGTTCGGGGCATGCAGCGGCAACGACGGGGGCCGAAATGGGCTTCCTCGCCTGGAACAGTTTAGGTGTCTGAAGAGCGACGCCCACAATACTTGCATCCTGCCAGAACACACGCGCATGCAAACATGCAGACGTGCGCCCACACACACAGACACGCACACAGCAGGAGTACAAGCCCTGAGGACCCTAAACCCTCATCCGCCGAGGATCTCGGGCCTAGGGATGGTCATAGCAGCTTTGCTGCGATTTTTGAGCAGCGCGCTCGGGGCGTAGGGTAACCCACCACATGCACAAACGCGGCACACATATTGATGACTGGTTCAGGCATACGGAATCCATACTCAATCGGGACGGGCGCGCGCGCGCGCGCGATCTTTCGCAAGTCCGGCAACGTCCAGTCTCGTACTGCCAGCTGCGGTTTGTTGTGCCACAACGAATGCGGACACGCCTGGCCCTCGATATGTCGTCACCAGGCCTTCGGAAAACACCACGTGACAGCTTGCCGCCGTTCCGTCGTTGGATTTCTGGCAGGCAGCCCACACTCACCACGAGCATGCTGAAAGAGTCCCCCGCCCGGGCAAGCTAATGCTGCCCCTTCCCTCAGTTACCTAAACCCTAAACCCTAAACCCTAAACCCTAAACCCTGAGGGGTGGGTTCGCCTTAGGCGTAAGTCCATGACGACGTCATCCGCTCAGCACTGATCCACGAGATCTGCCATCGGTTTCCAGAGATGTGCCAGCCATGGGAATCGGTTGAGGGTGATGCAGCTGCACGCAAAGTTGTTCCAACATACCCCAGCAACTTCCAGGATCCTCTGCAGCCTGTCAGACGTACGTTCGCACCGCAACCGCTTTTCTTGACTCACAATTAACTTGTTCTCGGCAGTTGGCACCTGAACATGAGTGTCTCTCTCAACCCTAAAACCTAAAACCCGAACACCCTCTTTCGGTTGTCCCTTGGGGACAAGCGGGCATCTCAAGCCGGGACGAAATCTAGACCTGACCATAAGATCTTGAACTAAGATCCTCTGAGCCCTGAAAATCAGGGTGTAGGGGCTTAGGTTTTAGGGGCTTAAGAACAGATCCTCTAAGACCTGAACATCAGGGTGTAGGTGTTCAGGATTTAGGGGCTTCGGGCTTTCGGGGCCTATAGGGCTTGATAAACCCATCGCCAGCCTCTGCTGCGTCTGGCTCCTCCCCGCCGAGGTGGCTGGGCGGGGTCACGGAGAGCAGGGACTGCAAGCCTACAGTGGCCGAGTAGTATTAGTAGTATGATTATTTTTATGTTTAATGTCTTGTTGTTTTTTTTGGGGGGGGGAGGGGGGGGAGGGGGGGGGAGGGGGGGGAAGGGGGGGGAAGGGGGCGGGGAGGGGGGGGGGGAGGGGGGGGGGGGGGGGAGGGGGGAGGGGGGGGGGGAGGGAGGGGGGAGGGGGGGAGGGGGGGGGGGAGGGGGAGGAGGGGGGGGGGGGGGGGAGGGGAGGGGAGGAAAAGGGGCCTCGGGTCTCGATCGTGGGGGGCTTCTATGGACCGAAAGACAAACTAAGTAAAAGCCAAATGAACGCGCACGAAAAAAAAGAGTAATCATAGACACATATACAAGGAAGCCCCTTTGAAAAGCCCAAAAAGACAAAAAAGCCCAGCAGCATGGGAAGAGAGGCGGGGGCCAGGGTCTCAGATCCTCCTCCAAGTGGAGGAAGGGCCACGTGGAGGACAGGGGCCCATGAGAGGCCGCCTTGCGGGGCTGGCGCCGCAGCTCGGGCCCGAAGCACAACCTGAAGCAGATACACATACATCATACATACATGTATGTGAGTATGCATGTGAAAAAGTATATATATATATATACATATATATCTACAAACATGTAAAAGTATCCAAATAAAAAAAGACACAAATGAATAAGTGCGTGTATATGTATATATAAGCACATCTATATGTATATATATATATATCATCTATATATGCACTCCTCCAAAGAAGAAGGGCCTGTGCTGTGGATCAACCTATTCTTTTCAACCGCGCTTCGAACTGTTGGGCTGAGGCTTTTGAAGCTTTGAGTGTGCAAAGGTCTTTGGGGACTATCAGGTTTGGGTTTAGAGTCCAAGGTTTAGAATGCACAGTACCTTCGAGGATATGTTTGCGGCTTTGTTTGCGGGCTATCATCCCCTGAGCGTAGAAGAATTTGAGTTGAGGAAAGCTTAGGAAGAGTGAAATTAAGTGGGTTTAGGGTTAAGGGTTTAGGGTCTAGGGTTTAGGGCTTAGGGTTCCAACTGCGACCCAGATGCTGCAGCAAGAGGGCCACGGCACCCGAGCGACGCACCACGAAGACGTGGTGCTGGCCCTTGAGGTGGTCCAGCCACAGCTGTAAAGAGGCCTCAATACTGTCTGGCTTCGCACGCCCCCTCACCTGAGTTCTTTGGGAGATCATGTAAGGCTATTTCTTGGGATCTTGGTGCTGTTGCTATTCATGGGCTGGAAGATTTCAAGAGCCATGCTCGACAACTCCCAAGGCACCGGGCAGCCCAAAAGCAAGCGAAGTGTGGCAGCATCCAGGGAGCAGGGTCTGTCCAAGAGAATGGCGCAGCCACTGCTCCACAACAGCTCCCGCGCGATGTCCGCGAAACCCAAAGCGGCAGCATCGTCGAAGACGATCCTGCGTGCTCTTAGCACAGAAAGTTCTCATCAATAAATGACACAAGCCAATAAGGCCTCTAGACTCTAAACCCCAAAACCCTATAAGCCCAAAACCCCTCAATACATCCTAAACCCCAGGCCCTAGATCCTAGACCCTAGACCCCAAGCCCTAAGCCCTACACCCTGACCCTGCAGCCGAGACTCAAAGCTGACAGTTCGGGCTGGTCACTCACCGACTCCACACGCTTTGGTGCGGCTGTCGTCGTCTTAGGCTCCTGGGTTGAGGCTTTTTTGTGGGCTCCGGAATAAGGGTTTAGGGTTGAGGGTTTAGGGGCTAAGGGTTTAGGATTTTTTATAGGAGGCTGAGCCTTAGGTACACCAATCTGATCCAGAATGGAATTTCCAATTGTCCAGGAGGTTGCAGGTCACACCTTTAGGGGTTACACAGTTACACAAACACATAGCCAGGGGCTCATATTGTGTGAGGCCTAGGGAAAGCTCGGAATTCTTGAGTCTCCTGCTCAGGGCCAGCAAGCAAGGTAGAAGCATTGCTCAACACGAAGGGGGCTGGGGTTGTGCTATGCCACGGAGCTTTACACCGCAAGGCTGAACAAGTCTTCGGCGACTTTTTCTTGGCGGTTTAACTTACGAACCAAGTCTACCGTGCGTTTAACCCGCAGAACTAGGGACCTGGACCTCTACGCGAAACCCATAAGCTTGTACCAAACTATACCTAAACCCTGAATCCCAAACCCTTCGGGTTTATAAGTTCCCTGAGCCTGCCAGTTGCCTTCCTTCCTGCAGTTGGGCAGCGGCAGCAGCTTTGGCTGCAGGGGAAGAGATGGGAGCCTCAGGGGCCATTCCCTCAAGGGTTTGGGGTTTGGGGGGTTTAGGGGTTGGGATGTTCCCCCTTCTACTAACAGTCCTTAGTAGAGATTCTAGTACCAGCTATAATAAATCCTAAGGACTGTTGGTATAAGGGGGAACATCCCAAGTTTAGGGCTTTCCGTTCTTTGCTTTCATGAGCTCTCGATGTCTTATGAGCCACCGAATTCCGAACCCTCCAAGCCCTGTCAGGTAAGAGCAAAACCAGAACATAGGCTTCAGGCTCTGATGTTCATGCTAAACTTCCGCAAGCCCTGCCCTCCAACCCCAAAAACCCCAAACCCTCTAAGCCTAAACCCTAAAAACCCTAAAACCCTACACCCTCTAAGCCTAAGCCCTAAAACCTAAACCCTCTAACCCTGAACCCTCTAACCCTGAACCCTCTAACCCTAAACCTTAACCCCGCAGCGATAGCACTCGGTAAGCTCGCCGCTGGCTTTGGCTCCTGCGCATCCAAAGAGGTACCCGCACAATGCAGTTCCGTTTACAGGCCCTTAGAAGGGAATGACGGTTCGTTTTTTTGGAGTTGGGGGTTTAGGGAAAAAGGAGGGGGAGATAACGAGGTACCTACTTTCCTACCTCATTCCCTACAAAAGTGCCACATAAGCCAGCAAGTTCCCAGGGTCTCGGGTTTATGACGGTTTACGAAGCCTCAGGCGGCTGACGGTTTACCTCTTTAGGTGCAGCAGCATGCAGCGACCTTTTCTTCAGAAGAGTTGGCATGGGGAGCCCATCCCCTTTAAGGGAATAAGGGGTCAAAGGACCTCTACAGTAACCCCCACCAGCTTGGGATGTTACCCCCTTATACTAGCAGTCCTTAATGTGGATTCTAAGAGGGGGTACTAAAATCCCTATTAAGGATTGTTAGGCTAAGGGGTAACATCCCAGCTCCCAGCACTTCTCAACAATGTCGTGCTGGTGACCCCGAAAGCCTTAAACCAGGGACCCTTAAACCCAACAATAAAACACCAAAACCCTTCAACCCTTGCCGAAGGCCCTTTAGACCCTTAAACGCTGAAACCTTATCTAGCATGGGGCCGTAAAACCCTCTGAAAAACATTCCTAAATATAGTCCTCTTAAACCCAATAAGGGGAAACATAGAATATCCCAAGGGCCTACCTAGCTATAGCCCTAAACCCTAAACCCTAAACCCGAAACCCTAAACCCTAAACCCTAAACCCGATCCACAAAAAATCGAAATCTGGCAAGAGAGCTCCTCTGGATCCTTGGTGCCCGGGATCAAACCGACCCCTGGCTCCTGTGGGCAACTTAAAGTCGCAGGGTTTTTGTTGAAAGGATTTTAGGGTTTAGGGTTTAGGGTTTAGTATAGGGGTTAGGGTTTGGAGAACAGGGCTTGGGCTTTAGGGCTTAGCATTCGGGGTGTGGTTTAAGGTGCAGGAGTGGTGCCCTAGCAAAACCAGCCTGCTGCACTTAAGAGGTGCGCCGATCAGGGTTCCCAAGAGTTTACAGCAGGTTTGCTAGGATGCTCGGCTTCTGCATGTTTATTGTGCTTTTCGTATGAGTTTTCTCAATGCTCAATCCCATACATCCCCTAGCAGATTCTTGGGGCTATACGCAACCTTGCGTTCTGTGGTCACCTCCCCAAAATTCAGGTCGCCTTACGGGTTTAGGGGTGAGGATCACCGACAACTTGTCAATGTAAGGGGCCATATTTTATCACTAGATGGCACCAAGAAGGGCCGTGATGTTGAGAATACATGCGCTACCTGGGAATCATGTCCTGCTTCGTGTGCCGAATGAGCAGAAGGTATTCTCGATCTTGACAACACATATACTCTGAGAAGGGGCGGGTGTCACGCGTCATGGTCGCACTATGCACCACAGTACACCAGCAAGCTTGGCTGCCCTGGCTGTTCACGGCACGACCCGACGCGCTCACATGATTTGTTTCTCTCTGCTAAACCTGACGAAGCGTAGGCCCTTGTAAGCCCCGAACCCTAAACCCCTAACCCCTAAGCCCTACCCTAAAAGCCCCCTTAAACCCCCCTCTAAACCCCCAAACTCGACCACCACCGAGGCTCGCCTTTGTCCCGCGCGCTTCTGCTTTGGCCAGCGCTGGGTTGGACCACGTCGACTCGCCAGTCGCACGGTTGTAGTAGTACCTGATCTCCAGGTTTCGAGTATCAGGGTTTAGGGGATCAGGGTTCCGGGTTTAGGGCTTCAGAGTTTCAGGGTTTCGTGGTTTCAGGGTCTACGAAATCATGGTCCCTCTTTCGGATCCGTGTTAGAATACGGAGCATTGACACTTTAGGGTACCCGAACGGGTACGATCATGTAGACTGCCTTCCATGGTGATTGGGCTAAGCTTGAGGGCTTAGGTTTGTTTCAGGGTTTGAGGGGTTGGGGTCTAATGATAAGGTTCAGGGTTGCAGTTGGGTTTTGGGGAATCCATGGAAGGCTTCTGGTTGTCCGCCCTAAACCCTATAAACCCTAAACCCTATATAAACCCCAAACCCGGCATCTCTCCGAATTCCTTGAACTTGAAGCGCACACTAGTGGGTAGTGCGCTGCCATTAGGTCATAGAGGTACCTGAAGCCCCCCCCCCCTCTAACCTTCTACACCCCTTGTAACCCCTTCATACCCCTTATGCCACCCCCTCATAGCATCTTCATCCCAAGACAAACAAGCGCTTGCACGGCTTTAGTTAGGCTACAGGGTTCAGGGTTTTGGGGACTTGAGAACCCTTGGAGGCCCTAATTTTGTGGGGTTTAGTGTATGGACGGGATTCGGGGTTTATAGGGTCTGGGGAGAAAGGGGCCTACATGGAACCATAGAAGGCGTATCGCGGGTAGCTTCTCGCAGGACGGGAATCGAAGGTGGTGGTGAGTGGACCTTTGGGTTCGTTTCAAGGCCAGCCCTAAACCCTAAACCATAAAACCTAAGCCCTCAACCCTGCACTTCAGTGTACCGCGGCCGAGATGCACCCGGCCCATGGTGGCGTCCTTATGTTCGGACCAGTCCGGCAGGTGCACGGCAGCCTTCAAGTGAGAGGTTCAGGGGTGATCGTTTTTAACTGGATGAACCCGGCTTGAACTTCTAGATGGTTCACCCAGGTAGAATGTGTAGTATGACTCTAGTAAGCAGAACCAGTGATGATTTCAAACTTGGTAAGACTGCTTTCATGGCATGGTGCAGCTGTGGAAATAGCATGCAGCGTGAACCTGGAAGGCCAAACAGAGCTGTCTTTTTCATGTCGGTCCGAAGTGGCAGTTAGCGTCCCCGTGAGTCGAGGCCTTCTCCTCCTTGTCTTTCTTCTCCGCCGGCGCCGGCGGAGGTGGGGGCCCTTTCGGGGGTGGAGGGGGTGGTGGTGGCGGCGCCGGTGGTGGGGGCGCTGGGGGCCGCAGGGGGAGGGGCGGGAGGAGCGGCGCGGACTCGAAGACTTCCGGGGCGGCGGCGAGCGGCGGGGGCAGCGGCGGGATGGCTACCAGCGGCGCGGGCGCACCTTGGAAAGAAAACCTACTGTAAGCCCTAAAGGGCCCCTAAACTCTGTGCTCTTTGTGTTCTAATGTCATTGGAGGAGGTATCATGAAGTCTCTCCGCGGACGGACAGTGCGAGGGTGCCGCATCAGCTGGAGCCCTGTGGACAGCTCGTGGAAGCTCCCTTGAGCCCTGCAGCGTGCTAGTTTGCCTGCTGGTTTTCTGTCCCTAAAAACCCTAAACCACCCTAAAACCTCTTGCCCAACACCCAAAACCCAAAACCCTAACATCCAAAAACCCTAAACCCGACCTAACTCCCTAAAACCCCAAGACGCCGGGCCGGTTTAGTATGTGAAGGTCACCAAGCTGGGGCGTGAGCTGCCCTTGGGCTTGGCAGCCGCAGGTGTGGCGGCCTTGCACAGGATTTTAGGGCTCAGCTTAGGCGTTTAGGGCTGAGGCTTAGGGTTTTGATGGGTTTTGGGGCTTGTAGGCCTTGGGGTATAGGTTTTGCGGCATTTTACGGGTGACGGCCACCTACGCAAAAGACATCCCTCGCCCTACAAACCCCTAAACTCCCTTTATGAGCCCCTAAACCCCCTTTATGAGCCCCTAAACCGCCTTTGTGAGCCCCAAAGCCCCCCTTTACAAGCCCCTACCCCGCACTCACCAGGCACAGAAGCCTTCGGCTTCGCAACGGGAGCCGTAGCCGGACCAAGCACCTGGACACGCGCGGGCGTATAGATACAAAGACATAGTGAACATATATCCGCCGGTAGCAGGGCGGCGTCAGTGAAGACCCCCCACCGCCCTCACCGCCCTCACCCGCTCTCACAGCATGCTGCTCATGACACCTTGAATTGGAGTGTTTTTGCATTGTTTGGCTTCAGTGCATGCCCAAACCCCGCCACCCGTCGCCCTCACCCATGACGCCTTGAATCAGTGCCGACCACCCCCCCCCCCCCCCCCCCCCCCCCCCCCACGCCCCCCCACCCCCCCCACCCCCCCCCCCACCCCCCCCCCACCCCCCCCCCCCCCTCCTGTGGCCTCGCCCCTGCCCCCCTGCCAGTCCCCCCCACCCCCCCCCACCCCCCCCCCCCCACCCCCCCCCCCCCCACCCCCCCCCCACCCCCCAGGCCTGCTCCGCCCCTGAGCAACCTCTAGTGTTTCAAGGATTCCCGCCCTGACCGCCCTCACCGCTCTCACCGCTCTCATCACTCCCCTCCCGATGCCCCCCAGTCCACCCCTGCCTGACACCAACCCTTTGCCCTCAACCCCCCCACCCGCCGCCTCGACTCTGAAACCCCACCCCCCCCCACCCCCCCCCCCCCCATCCCTTCCCTCCTAGGCCCCTGCCCCCTACTCCGCCCCTGACAAATCTTTTGTTTGAGGGATTCCAATCCACGCCCGCCCAAACCGCCTCCCCGCTCTCATCACTCCCCTGCCTTCCGCCCCCAACTCCACCAACCCTCGACCGTCACCTCCCCTGTCCACCCGCCGCGCTCCACCCTGCCTTCCGCCCCAACGCTCTCACCAGAGCTGGTCAAATGAGTCAGGCCCCCCTTGCCCCCACCCTCTCCCACTCCCACTCCCTAACCCTCCCACCAACCCTCCCCAGCCCTCATCACAACGCCCTCCCACCATCGTGCACCATCCGACCGCCCCCCCGCTCTCACCGCTCTCATCGCTTCTTCATCTCTATGCCCCCCAGTCCACCCCTGCCTTCCGCCCCCAACTCCCTAATCCGACACCAACCCTCTACCGTCACCCCCCACACCCCCCACCCCTTTCCACCCCCACCCACCCCCACCCCCCCCGCCCCCGCCCCCCCCGCCTGCCCGCGCTCCACCCTGCCTTCCGCCCCAATGCGACTGTCTTGGGTCTGGGGTCGGCGGCACTGGCGGTAGCCATTAAAAATATATATATATATATATATATATATATAGTAATATATATATATATATACATACATACATATGTAGATGATACATCTGTCCATTACATACACACCTACACTACGTGCGAATGAGCTCTGCATCTACTCCTGTGCTTTGGAGAGGATCACGCTGAGGCCCGCGGCAGCCGTCAGTGCCAGGGGAAGAGCCTTGGAGGCGAGGGCCGCGGCCTGGGATGCGAACCTGAAGCTTGCCAGAACGGGATCCTTTGCATAGGGCTTCAAGGGTGGGCTTTCAACTGAAGAGGAACTCGGCTTCACGTTGCAAGTGCCTGTTTTTTGGTGCTTCCGGGGTGGGGGAGGAGGAGGAGGAGTTGTTAAGGATCTGAAGATGTTTTGGGGTTGGGGCTTGAATGCTCAGTGTCATGGCTTCGGAATCAAATAGGTTCGAAGTGGAGGTTCGGGTTCTGGGGTTAATTTAAGGAATTTCGGGTTGAGCGCGTATACACAACACATTAGGATTTATAGGAGGAGGGTCGCGCAGAATGAGTGGCCGAGGTCTTGGTGCTTGGAGCTCTTCCACTTTTCGAGGATGCACATGCTTGGTTTTCCTTGGTGGGGCAGCGTTACGCCTTGAAATTTGCACTTCTCTTCGATTCATATTCGTGATTGCTTGCGTGGGCCTGTTGGCTTGGAGAGAGGCTAAGGGAACATCGAGGAATGCTGCTCCCCTTTCTCTCAGACAACATGCCGCACCATGAGGGCACAAACTCTCAGTTGTGGAATCTCATGGAATTGCTTCCAATGCATCTGGATGTGAAATGAAGATATAGGGGCAAAGAACTCGTACCTCGTCATGGAAGGCTTTGTAGACCAAATAAAACGCCGAAAAGCGCAAAGATTACATGGACAGAGAAACGAAAGACACCCTTCCATGTTGGCAAGAAAACAGAGTGTCTCTACAGAGACATTTGATTAAAGATTGAAGCGGATGTAATGAGGTTAAACATGCATGAATGGAATAGTGGGGGCCCACATGAGCCACGACCCGGGAGCAGGGAGTAGAGACATGAAACTCGTTTGTGGTTCATGGCTATCTGGACTGAGGCATTCTGACTAGAACAAGCACCCAACAAAATGCCTCTAAGCCTAAACCCCAAGGCCCGAAACCTACACCTGGCCCTTAGACCCTTAAACCCTAACCCTAAACCCCCAAAACCAACCCAAACCCTGACCATGAAGGAACGCGGGCTCTTTTCCGAGCTCCCAGTCAGCAGGTCGGCAGTCTGAGCGCCGATGGCCCACCAAGTTGGTACACTGGAACCCGTCACAACACCGCTACGTACCTAGTCTGCACAAAGAGATGCAGATACAAGCATGAACTGACATGCAACGAGGGGACTTCGCACCTACTTGCAGTCCTTAGTAGGGGATTCTAGTACACCCCAGTATAAACCCTAGTCGGATTTGTTGGTATCAGGGGAACATCCCAAGAGATGGACAATGTGCGTACGCAATGTAGCAGTAGAGCACCCAATGCCCATCCAGCTGGTTGGCCTCGCGCCTACAACAAAGCTCTCACAACCAACTCGCAGCCTTAGTCCTGCCGGTCTGCCGAAGTGGAGGACCTGTTGAGAAGCTCTACGCAGAGGCTTGATGGAGGGTTGCCCGGGAGCTTAGGCTACTAGAGCAGGGGTCCCATGAGTTGCCCCAAAACCCTAAACCCTCAACCCTAAACCCTAACCGCCCTAACCTAGATCAACTCCCACACGCTTCTGCTTGTGCCCTGGTTTGGAGGATTCTTTCAAGCGCCCTCAGGGAGTTTGTTAGATCATTTGCCTTCTTCTCAGGGCACGGCCTTCTGCCAACATGATCTTTATGGTCTGGGGTTTGGGGTTTGGGGTTTAGGGTCCAAGGTACTTAGTGATTGCCTACAGTAGTTCCAGAAGCACGTTGAGTTCTGACCCCCTTTACAATTTTTGTGTTTTTGTTTTTTTTTTTGGCGGGGGGGGGGGGGGGGGTGGGGGGGAGCACCGGGGGTTGGGGGGAAGGCGGTAGGGTGGGGGTGGGGGTGGGGTGCTAACTTCCCCGGATGTTCAAAGCGCCTCGCACGCAAAAGCATGCGCATACCTTTTTCAAGGCAAGTGAAGCCGATCGACCTAACCAGCCCACCTTCCTCGGAGGTGCTGGATGGCATGTTGGAGCATCGCAATCTCCTCATCCTCTCAAAGGGCCACAAAGCGGGTTTAGGGCATAGGGTTTAGGGTTTAGGGTTTGGGGTTTGGGCTCATGAGGCTGTAGGGTTCAGCGCTTAGAAGGATATATTCCTCTCCGGCCTTTTGAGGCGGGGGAGAAGAAACTCTTAAGCAATTAGGCAGGACGTCAGTGACACGACACTTCGTTGCCTCACGCAACCCTTTACATACCCAAACCGTGAACCTGCGCAAAAATGAGCTCATAGTGTCCTGCTCCACCAAGCGCCGGGATGCGTCCAGACCCGGACTGGTTGCGTCCGACCCCTCCGAACCTGTGATGTTGGGACATCAGAAGGTCATGGGGGGGTTCTCTTTATAATTAAGGCCTTCTGGTCCTTATACCCCCTAAATAACAAACTACCCAACGGCC